CTAGGGGCGCTGTGGGTCAGAATGGACTCCAGTCAGTGGGTGTGGTTTGGGCTTTGCTTCTGTGAAGATTGACAGCCTTGGAGACCCTGTGGGGCAGTTCCACTCTGTCCTCTAGGGGCGCCGTGGGTCAGAATGGACTCCACGGCAGTGGGTTTGTTTTTTTCCTTTCCTTTTCTTTTTTTTGTCCATGTGTTGAGCACGATTCTGGGAGTGGGGGTTATGGCAGCAGCAGCCATCTAGGATTAGTTCATGCTTATCCCAGATAAGTAGTTCCTGAAGTTAGCAATAAGTATGAACTGTAAGGTTGACACTAAAATGATTGACATAAGGATGGTGTAAGTAATAACTAGAAGTGTTAATACAGCGCCCTGGTGGTGCAGTGGTTAAGTGCTTGGCTGCTAACTAAAAGGTTGGCAGTTCAAACCCACCATCCGATCTCCGAGAGGAAGCAGTCCGCTTGCCTAAAGGTTGTTGCTGGTGGAGCCGTACGGTTGGCTGCTGCGCACAACAGAACGAAACACTGCCAGGCCCTGCGCCAGTCCCACGGTTGTGGAGCCCATCTCATTGAAGGGCTTCCTCTTTTCCGCTGCGGACTCGACCAAGCATGATGTCCTATTCCAGGGACTCCTCCCTGTGGTTCACACGTCCAAAGTCCATGAGATGACTCCAGCTGCGCGTCTTCCAGGAGTTTTCTCATTCCTCTGGCAGTCTGCCAGCACATTGCACACTCTCCCCCAACACCGTGACTCAAAGGCATCAATTCTTCTTCGGTCTTTCTCATTCGTTGTCTAGCTTTCATATGCATAGGAGGTGATTGAAAGAAAATACCATGGCTTGGGGCACCTTCGTCTTCAAAGTGACATCTTTGGTCTTTAACACTTTAAAGAGGTCTTTTTGCTGCAGATTCTCCCAGTGCAATAGGTGTGTGATTTCTTGACTGCTGCTTCCATGGGTGTTGCCTTTGGGTCCAAATAAAATTAAATCTTTGACAACTTCAGTCTTTTCTCCATTTATCATGATGTTGCTTATTGGTCCAGTTGTGAGGATTTTTGTTTTTCTTTATGTTGTGGTGTAATCCATACTGAAAGCTGTAGTCTTTGATCTTCATCATAAGTGCTTCGAGTCCTCGCTTTGTGCAAGCAAGGATGTACCATCTGCACAGGGTTTCTGTAAAGATGACAGCCTTGGAAACCCTATAGGGCGGTTCTGCTCCGTCCCATAGGGTTGCCAAGCACTAATGGTAACACTGGCCTCCTGGCTTTTCCTTGATTAGGACAAGCGTGTCCCTGTCTCACTTTGCACTTACTGTCCCCTCTGGTGGCACAGTGCCTAAGGCCCTTGACTGCTCACCAGAAGGCTGGCGGTTCAAACCCACCAGCCGCTCCTCGGAAGGAAGGTTGGGCAATCTACTTCCATAGTGATACTGCCTCGGAAGCCCAAGGAGGGGTCGCTATGAGTCAGATCCAACTCGATGGCAGTGTGTTTGGTTTGGGTTTTGGTTCTGAGTGGAACATTCTCCCTCTGCAACCCTCGTGGCTCTGTCTCTCAGCTGACTCGGGTCGCAGTGCAGCCTGCCCTACCCCTTCCCCACCTGGGCCAGCCGTATTTCCTCCATAACCCTCATCGCTACCTGACAGGTGTGTGTGGCTCAGTGCCTCCCTCCAGCATAGCATGTCCCAAGCGCCAGGAGGGCAGGGCTTTATCTGTTTTGTTCATTGCTGTGTGCCCAGCTTCTGGAGCCATATTTAGGATATGGTAGGCGCTCGGTACGTGTCTGCTAAAGGAACACACAGCAACAGTAGTGTTAGGTGTCCTGCAGTGTGTTTGGGACCTCTAGCCTGTGTTGGTGGCACACATGGTTAAGCGCTCAGCTGCCTCAGAAGAAAGACCTGACAGTCTGCCCCCCAGATCAGCCATTGTAAACCCCGTGAAGCACGGTCCTATCCACACGGGGTCACCACGGGTCAGCATCGACTGAGTGGCAGCTGGTGTTGGTTTGTTTAAGCTGTGTTGAAAGTGTAGCTTCCAGTTTTTGGTTTTTGTGTTTTCTGGAAGAATTTCCTCCATGCCTGTACACAACAACAAGTAGGCTGTCACTGTGGCTGGCAGATGCCATGGAGTGGAGCCTGACTCTCAGCGACCCAGTAGGGTCTCCTAGGCTGTGGTCTTTGTGGAAGCAGGTCGGCAGGTCTCTCTTCCTGGGACCCGCCCGAGGGGTTCAAACCAACAGCTTTCAAGTTGCCAGCCAAGCATTGTACCATTGAGGCACAGGCCTCCCTCCCTGCTGGGTAATAGGGGCCTGTTTCCAAAGAAGCGGAGGGAGCCCCTGACTTGGAGAAGAGGCCCAAGGCAGTGATGGGTCAGTGCGGACTGCAGGTGATTAGAGCTCTGGGTGGCCAGTCAGTGGGGGCTTAGGACAGCTTCCCTGACACACGGTGGACTGTAGCTATTGAAAGGGACATTGGGTGAGTTTTGACATCTGTCAACCCCAATGGGACCACACCCACCATTCACCCTTGGTTGGTGAATGCACCCGTTGACCCCCATGTTCCCCTGTACTTTATACATCCCCCATCGCTCCCTGCTGCCCCCCAAGCAAACACCCATCTGCTTTCTGGGGGTGACCATGTGGAGCAGTCATTTTGTCTCTGTTCCGGGCCCTGTGGGATGTGCTGGGAACCCAACAGTATTTGTGACGCGGGACCTGGCCCTGGGGGGCTCAGCATCCACCCGTGGAAGGGGCAGCTGCCACCTGGGGTCAGAGGGGGTAGGAGAGGCCAGCCTGAGTTCTCATCTCAGCTTTGCCTCCTTGTGGGACCTTGACCCTTGACCTAGCTGCTGGGAGCCCCGTCCCCCACCTCCTTAATGGGGGTAGGAGCCCTAGAGGCACCGTGGTCCAGCATTCGGCTGCTAATGAAAAGCCGGCAGTCTGAACCCACGAGCGGTTCCATGGGAAAAAAGACCTGTGAGCTCCTTCCCGACAGATTGCAGGCCAGGTAGCCCTTTGGAGCAGTTCCTCTCCGTCACACGGCGTCACTGTGGGTCACACATGCCGCACAGTAAGGGTAACAGTCCTAGTCTGGGGCTCTCGTGAGAACTGGCTGAGACCCGTCTGCTTTGCGCTGTCTCATCTCCGGTGTCTGACACCACCCCCAGCACACAGGGGGCTCTCAACGAATGGGTGAGTGAGTGAGCGAGTGAATGACGCAGACTCCAGTGAGCGGGACTGTGGCCAGCAGGGATGGAAACCCATCTGCCCCTCTCCCCCGCCCCCTGCCCCGGCACTCAGAAGGCCCAGGGCCACATATCTGAGTCTGATCGGGGACACATTTAGCGCCCCGTGCCGGCGAGCAGTGGGCACAGCTACCCATGGGCACATCCGTTCACACACAGCTGGACCACGGCCCTCGGACTCCCCTGCCATGTACCTGGTCTGCCTGTCTCCCGCCCCACACAGCCTGCTTCTCCTGCCACTGTTGGCCTTCATGCTGTCTTCTGCCAGGAGCCACATTGCACCCCTTCCTGGGGCAGGAGCTGTACCAGCAGCTGCCTGCTTGGCCTGGGGAGCCACGTCTGTCATTAGCACACGGCCACGGGGCTTGTGCCTTGTGGGTACCAGGATCCCAGGGCCTTGCTCCCTCATCTGACGGGGCTGCCTTGGTGGCCTGACACTGCTTGATGTTTTTCCTTAGCGCAAATGGTGTGCGTCTGGGGTTTTGTTTGATATCTGTCTCTTCTTCCTCTGCCCTCCCTTTCAGCTGCAGAGAGCCAAGTCCCCCATCAGCCTGAAGCGCGCATCAGATCTTCAAGGTTAGTGAGATGACGGGGATCTCCTGCCCACTGTCTCCCCACTCTCTCGGCCCATCTGTTTCTGCCCTTGCAGGCAGCAGTCCTGCCAGGTAAACCCCGGGTGGGCCTGTGGCCTCAGGCTGGCGGGTATCCACTCAGGTGGTAATTAATGTTAATCGCCACCTGAGTGGACGGGAGTCCCAGCTAGGGACAGGTGGCTCTCCGGTTCCCCAGCCCCGCCTGCCCTCCCTGTTGGCCAGGAGCTCTGGCCACTTCAGCTGGACTTGGCCTTTTGGAGCAGGGCTTGGCCTTCCTCCCAGTCTGCTGGTCAGGGAGTCCGGGGGTTAGGCTGCAGGTCACCCCTAAGCTCCAGGCTCTGCCAGATTCACTACCTTTAGAACCCCCTGGCTGGTCCTCACTGCACCTCAAGGAGGGACCAGCTGGCCGGCAGGATTGGCCAGAGGGAATCCAGCCCCCACGTGTATAGGGAGGTTCAAGGAGAGGCCTGCAGAGCCTGACTGGGGTCTCGGGCAGCCCCGAGCAACCAGGAGAGGTACGGGGTGTTGGAGAAGGGTCCGCCCCTCAAGGTGGCATTGAACGTGGGCTAGAGAGGGGAGAATTTTGACCTGTGGACACGGTCTCCAGAAGGGGATGCCTCAGCACCAAGGGGAGAGTGTCCATGGAGTGAGACAAGGACGCTTGAGGTTGGGAGCTGCTCTGCCAACCTAGCGCCGCGCAGGGGAGCCACCGGCAGAGACCAGGGGTGCTTGCCCGCCTGGAAGATGCAGACTGCGGGGCCCGGGGAGGGCGGGGCCCGGGGAGGGCGGGGCCCGGGGAGGGCTTCAGAGGCCAGTGGGCTTCAGCCCACAGTGGGAGACCGTAAGAAGGGAGGTTCGAGACCTCTTTCCTCAGCGGATGCCGTAGAAGGTGGGCAGAGGCTTTGAAGCCCCGTTAGGAGCAGCAGGAACGGCAGCCACACAGAGAAGCCCCCCTGAGCCCCTTCCCCAGCCCTTCTCTCCGTCTCTCTCCTGCGACAGCAGGCCGTGGCCGAGAGGAAGACGACCCCGACGCCAGCCCGGGCTCCTCCAGCTCTCTGCCCACCAACAGCACGTTCGCCAAGATGGTAAGGGTTGACCCCTGCTGCACCTTCTCAGGCCTGCCCACCCCCCAGGCCTGGCAGTGTGTCCCCACAGAGCCACCCCCACCCTGCCCGGCCTCACTGTGTTCATTGAAGCTGACGTGCAGGCCTTATGATGTATTTACGTGTACCCTCCAGCCACCTCCTTTCCCAGTGGAACACTCGGGGGGGACGGAGACATATGGGGGGGGTTCGGCAAATGGCACCGACCGGGGAGCGGCTCTGCCAGGGCCTGGGCTGCAGGCTGCAGAGCCAGGGCCCCTCGCTGGCCCCGTCCCCCCTCCCCGTTCCAGCTCTCCAGCAGAGCCCCGCAGGGTCCCCGCAGCGGGAACCCAGTGCCACTGCTCCCCAGCCAATAGGAGGAGTAAAATTGAAATTCCTACCCCAAGGGGCGCTGCAGGAGGTTTGTTAGCTCAGCTTCCAAAAACCGAGCTGGGAGGCAGAGATCTCATAATGAATGACTCGGGCTGGGGGTGGCGTGGGTGGCACCAGCAGGTCACCCTCTGGCCTCTGCGCTCTGTGCCCTGTCCCCTTGACCTGCGCAGGGTGGCAGATCGCCCCTCTTTGCCCCTGCCCCTGAGCACTGGGAGCAGATGTTGGAGCACGTGTGGCCGTCCCCACAGTCAGTCAACCCAGGCCAAGCACTGCAGTCTGCAGCCAAGGTCATCACCGAGAGCAGCCTGCTCCTGCGCTCACGGTCTAGGGGGAGCTGAGCAGGGTTAAATTTAGCCCCTGGATGTAACGTTTGCACCCCAGGCTGAACTGACGGATCAATGCCCCGCTCCCACCACACACCACGTGTGTTTAAAGTCCCCCCATCGGAACCGCAGCAGCATCATGTCAATCACAGCCGAGCCCCCTGGGAACGACTCCATCGTCAGACGCTACAAGGAAGACGCGCCCCATCGCAGGTGGGTGGCGGGAGGGTAGGAATGGAGACGTTTGTCAGGGTCCGCATGTGCCTGCCCACCCACACCACCTCTGCACCACTCCACACCCAGAACCATCTGTCCTGGAGGCCACCTCACAGTGGGCAGGATAGGGCCCATCTCACAGATGCAGAGGCTGAGGTCAGAGAAGCAAGGTGACTCTCTAGGGCCAGCCGGCTGGCGGATACCACCTGCACCACCCTGCCCCATGCTGTTGGGAAGTCAGGTTCCTTGGGCCCATGGCCCCAGGGATGACTTTGTCCCAGGAGAGAGGGCCCAAGGGTGGCCTTGCCACCCCACCTGCTCTCCTCATCTCTGGGATCCATCAGCGTCCCCAGGAAGGGAAACACAGCAGGTCCACCTGGCCTGCAGAGGTGCAGTCACTGCTAGTCAGCGTGGCTGGGCCCACAGCAGGTCCACTTAGCCTGCAGAGGTGCAGCACTGCGAGTGAGCGTGGCTGGGCCCACAGCAGGTCCACTTAGCCTGCAGAGGTGCAGCACTGCGAGTCAGCGTGGCTGGCGGTTTTCCAGGAGGTCTCCTGAATCCACTCTCAGATCCTGCCGAGGATTTGGGTTTAGGCCCCAAAGCACCACATTCCATGGCCTCCATGCAGATCAGAAGCACGGGGCCTTTGTCATCTCCTAGGGAGCCACCCACACAGCGGTCCTTGGTCAGCTCCTCCCTCTGGGCAGGTGGGCAGTGTGGCCACATGAGGGGTCTGCCCACCGCCTCCCCACCCATCTGCATGGGGCTCAGCTCAGATCTTGTCCTGGCGGCGGCTTTGGAAAGCCCCAGGTGGCAGCTATGCGGAGTCTGCCTCCACCCTGGTGACGTGTGGACGATTTGGAACAGTCGGCACCACCCTGTCCACTGCTCCACCTGAGTGGGCACCCCAGCTGTATCAGACCCCTGGCATGCATGCTCTTGGGCACATACAGACATGTACACAAATGGACACTAAGTACCCATCGTGGTAGAGAGGAGGGTGAGGGTGCGGCAGATGGGGGTTCATCAGGGACCCCCTTCCGCTGCCCTCACGGCCCCTCTGTGCACCCTGGGAATGCAGCAGGCTCACTCACCCTCTGCAAGGCCCCTGGGTGCGTGTCCCCTCCTCCCTCGGCCCACCTGCTGGCCTTCCTCAGCCACCCATCCCACTGTCAGAACCAGGGTCAGGACGTACCCCAAGCTCCTGCTCACCCTGTGCACACGCTCTGCCCCTGCCTTGCAGCACGGTTGAAGAGGACAATGACAGTGGTGGGTTCGATGCCTTGGATCTCGATGGTACGTACCTGCCTCGGGTTCCTGAGGCTACTGTGACCAAGCTTCCGAGACCACCCTTCCTCTCAGCTCTGGAGGCGGGGAGGCGGAGACCAGGGGTCAGCCACGCTGGTTCCTCCTGAGGCTCCGGGGCAGAGGGTGCTCCCTGCCAGGGCCTAGTGGCTCCAGGCGCCCCGTGGTGCTCCTCCTTGTCACAACTGGGTTTGCCCACCAGGTCCCACTCCTCCCGTGCCAGCCTACTGCGTCTGTCCTTCTCTTTCGTGAGGACAGGAATCCTATAGGATTAGGTCCCATTCTCTGCTGCCGTGGGCTCGCCCCATTTCCGAACAACCTCACGTTCACAGTGACAGAACTGGTGTTTCCTTGTGTGTCTCTGAAGGCCGGGATTCAGTCGTCACCATCTGCGCTCTGGCCCAAGGCTGGCCCAGAAGTGTCCCGGTGCGGGGCTGCCCACCGTCGAGGGAAGCTGCCCGCAGGCAGGGCAGCACTGTGCTGGTCTCTGACCCCTGCAGGGCCTGAGCTCCCTGCCCAGTAGGGCCTCAGTGAACACATGTGGGTGGACTCAGGGATAGCACTGCTCCCGGGCACCCTGCCTGCACAGCCCTGGCGAGAGGAAGAGCAGCCGCCGAGGCCCCCTGTGTGGCCTGGGGGCACCTGAGGCGTCTCTCCTGCTTTCTGTATAAACTCAAGGAGCCATACTCCGGCCGTGGAGCCGAGAGTCAGAACTAGGGCCCGCCCTCTGCGAGCTATCTCTGCTGTGCCCCTGCATGGCACAAGCGTTTTGTCCACGGCTGCTGACCCAAAGATGGTTGGTTCAAACCCTCCCAGAGGCACCTGTGCAGAAAGTCCTGGCGATCTGCTCAGCCAGGTCGTAACCTTGAAAATGCTGCAGAGCCCAGTTCCCACCCCCTGGGGTTGCCCTGAGCCTGAACCCGCTTGACAGCAGCGGTCGTTCATTTTGTTTTCAATCACGTGGCGTCGTTGGGCCCTGCGCTCAGTGCCGGACTTGCCATAGAGTGGATTCCAGCCTAAGGCACTTGACTGCTAACCAGAAGGCTGGCGGTTCAAACCCACCAGCCACTCCTCAGAAGGAAGGTTGGGCAATCCTACTTCTGTAGTGATACTGCCTCGGAAATCCAAGGAGGGGTTGCTATGAGTCAGGGCCGACTCGATGGCACATAACAAAAACAACAACAACAACAGTGACAAAAGTGTTCTCGTCGTTCGACAGATGCAGAAACGGAGACTCGGAGAGGTTATGTGGAAAGGTTATGGGGCAGGGCCGCTGGCACAGAGTGGGGAGCAGGTGGGAACAGAGAGACCTTTTAGGAAACTCAGGTGTTAAAGGGCTGAGCCACGTGAGTAGTTGTGAGAAGCACGCGAATGAGACGAGACTAGAATCGGTGTGAGTTACATCATAAATATCTCCTGAAATTGGAAGTGTGCGGCAGGCAGACACGGGGAAGCCCAACATAGCCTTCCGTCCTAAAGTGGCCCCGTGGCCAGAGCTGGTGGGGTGACAGGGATGTCCCTGGTCCTAGAACAGGTCAGGCTGGCAGTGAAGCTATGGTCTCAGGCAAAGCTTCCTTGCAACCAGGCAGTCGGCTCAGCAAAGCTGGCATAGCCCCACAACACCCCAGGTCCGGTGCTGGGTACATGTCCCTGCATGTCACCCTCGAGGGGACTGCGGGGCTCATAGCTGTCACGGGAGGGGGGGTGCATGCGAACCAGCCTGAGCACCCTGGGAGCAACACAAGTGGGAAACCAACAGGGAGGGCTCGGGCGTGGCACAGCGGGGTCGGGGCCAGTGCCCTGCCCCTTCCAGAGCCTGCAGCCCAGAGATTGCCAGCCCCTCGGGTCTAAGGCCTCCATTCTGCCTCCAGTCCTCACCAGCCAGCACTGCCAGCAGATAAAATGAAAGACCCAGGGTCCAGCTAATTGGACCCCATCGGATGCTACCTAGTGTTAAAGGGAGGTTAGCCTGTCCCGGAGGCCGGGCAAGGCCCAGAGGAATCGGAGTTTCGGAACAGGGAGAGCTGGGGGGGAGTCCAGGCAAACTCCCAGTGCCACCTCACAGCAGGACGGTCATCGCACAGCACCTGGGGCCCAGAAATGTGCGGGCCGTGTCTTTCCCTGGGTCTTGGTGGAGATGGGGAAGGGACTTGTCGGGTCCTGTCCGTCAGTCGGGAAGCCAGTGGACAGTGGTGAGCACTAAGGCAACTTGGGGGACCCAGTTCAAAAACGGAACAAAACCAAAAAGCCTGGCCCATTACTGTGGGGTCGATTCTGGCTCACAGTGCCCCTAGAGGACAGTGAAACTGCCCCACAGGGTTTCCAAGGCTATTCATCTCTGCGGAAGCTGAGTGCCTCCATCTTTCTCCTGCAAAGCAGCTGGTGGGTTTGAACCAGCAGCCCTTTGGTTAGCAGCCTAATACTTTAAGCACAGTGTCACCAGAGCTCCTAAATTCAAGTGGCCAGTGGGTTCAAACCACTGACTTTGGGGTTAGCAGCCAAGTGCTTAACCTGTGCCACCAGGGCCACCGCTAGTGGAAAGCCCCCTTCCACAGATCGCTTTTAAGAAGGCTCTTAAAAACTAGACAGAGGCCAGGCTTCCCAGTAGGAAGGGGAGTGGCTTTGCTGAGGGGGACACAAGGACAGCACCTCTGCCCTGGTGACCTCAGGGAGCCACCAAGTCAGTGTTTGCTGCTCACCCAGGCTCCCCTCCCTGGGAGAGTTCACCACCATCACCACCACGCCTGGACCCTGACGTCCCCTCTCCTGACCCTGACATCCCCCTCCCCACCACGCCTGGACCCTCACGTCCCCCCTCCGGCCACACGTGGACCCTGATGTCCCCTTTCTCTTCTCCCCACCCCACCTTCTGCCTGCCTCCCTTGGGCTCTGACACACCCCCTCCCACTGCACATGGACTCTGACATGCCCCTTCCCTCCCCCCCTCCTCGCCCTCCCCATACTTATCTTGGACTCTTGCTATTCTCCCCATACATCATGCCTGGACCGCGATGCCCTCCCCTCCCCCTGCCTCACTCAAACCCTGAGCTCCCACCTCCGCCACACATGGACTGCCAGCCCCCCTCCCTGCCACCAAGACCTTGAGGCCCCGTTCCATTGCAGATGACAGCCATGAACGCTACTCCTTCGGGCCGCCCTCCATCCACTCCTCCTCCTCCTCCCACCAGTCCGAAGGCCTGGACGCCTACGACCTGGAGCAGGTCAACCTCATGTTCAGGAAGTTCTCTCTCGAAAGGTACCACGCCATGGGGGAGGGGAGCCTGGGTGGACCGGAAGGACCAACACCCCGATGCCCCCCAAAGGGACCCTCCACACCACCTAGTGTCCCCAGAGTGGGGGCCCTGGAGGTCAGAAGTCACTTCCTTTGTCTCCAACTTCAGGTGAAGGGACCGGGGCAGGAGAGGAAGGGGCTGCCTGGGATCCCAGCGTGTTAGGCTCCCTGCCCTGCTGTCCCCGTCACCCTGGGGGCCACAGCAGCTCCAGGTGGGAAGAGCCAGCCAAGAGCCACTAAGCCCCAGTGAACTCAATGCTCCCCTCAACAGGGTGTCAACAGGCCGGCTCCGGGAGGCTCTGTTCTCCTCCGGGCCTTTTTGTAACAAACGGCCTGGGAGAGTGCTTGGGAGCTGGGCAGCAAGGCTAAGGTTGCTTCAGCCCCACCTCTGTCACGACACCCCAGCATCTGACCAGCACAGCCCCCCGGCCCCATCACGACACCCCTGCATCTGACCAGCACAGCTCCCCCCCGGCCCCATCACGACACCCCAGCATCTGACCAGCACGGTCCCCCCCGGCCCCTCGCCCCCACCCTGGTTCTCTTCCTGGGGAGGGACCGCCTGCTTTCAGCCCGTGAGTAACCACCCACCCGGCTGCTGTCTTGTCTCCATCTCAGGCCCTTCCGCCCATCAGTCACGTCCGGGGGTCACGTGCGGGGCCCGGGGCCAGCAGTGCAGCACACCACGCTGTGCGGGGACGGCCTCACCACCCAGCTCACTCTGGTGGGCGGCAACGTGCGAGGCAGCTTCGTCCACTCCGTCAAGCCGGGCTCCCTGGCCGAGAAGGCCGGCCTCCGGGAGGGCCACCAGCTGCTGCTGGTGAGGCGGGAGTGGGGGGCTGCGTGGGGGCGGCACGAGGGGTGGGGGAGCCCCGCAGGAGGACCTCCAGCTGCTGCTGGTGACGGGAGGGGACACGAGACGGGGAGGCGAGGGGTGGCGGGCAGCTCGGCCCAGTGCCGGGACCTTCCCCACGGCTTCCTCCCTGGCCCCCCAGCCTTGCCCGCTGCTCTGGACTCCAGACAGGTCGGTGGCCAGGCTGTCAGCTCCTTCTGTGAGACCCCTCAGTGGAACCTTCCCCCTGCACATGTTCACACCCACACACGCCAGTGCACACATGCTCCCAGGAAGCACACGCACAAACACCAGCACGAATGTGCTCGCAGGATGCACATGGACACACCAGCAGATGTATCCACATGTGCATGTACCAACACGTGTCTTCACAGGAAGCACACACACACCTACCAGCACATGCATTCACATGTACACACACCGGCACACGTGTTCCCAGGAAGCATGCGCACACACCAGCACACATGCGCTCCCAGGAAGCGTGCGCACACACCAGCACACATGTGTTCCCAGGAAGCGTGTGCACACACCAGCACACACGTACTCCCAGGAAGCGTGTGCACACGCCAGCACACACGTGCTCCCAGGAAGCGTGTGCACACACCAGCACACACGTGCTCCCAGGAAGCGTGTACACACACCAGCACACACGTGCTCCCAGGAAGCATGTACACACACCAGCACACATGCGCTCCCAGGAAGCGTGTGCACACACCAGCACACACGTCCACGTGTACACACACTAACACCCACTAGCTCCCAGGAAGCACGTGGGTTTCAGAGGGGGGCTGTTCCCTGGTGGCAGGCAGGGCCCAGCTGGCTGGCCGTTTGGGGAAAGGTGCATTTGTCCCCTGGGAGGAGCGACCGCTCCCCTGCGGTCCCGGCCAGGGCACCGCGAGCCATGTCCCTGCCGTCTAGCTGGAGGGCTGCATCAGAGGCGAGCGGCAGAGCGTGCCCCTGGACACATGCACCAAGGAGGAGGCCCGCTGGGCCATCCAGCGCTGCAGCGGCCCCGTCACCCTGCACTACAAGGTCAACTTCGAAGGTGAGGGCGTGGGGCCCGGGCTGACCTCCAGCGCCTGCTGTCCCTGCTCCACACCTCCACTCACCGTCTGCGCCGTGGGGGCGGTCAGCACCTCCCTGAATCCACAGGAGGGGCCGGCAGGCAGCAGAATGGGAAAGGGCACTTGGTGGTAGGGGCACAAACAGTCCGTGCACCGGCAGCTCACCCAGAGGTTGGCAGTTCGAGTCCACCTGGGGTGCCTCAGAGAGAGGCTAGGCATGAGCTCCTGATCACTGCCGTTGAACACGGTTCTCTGACCCGCGTTGGAGCACCGTCAGTCAGAGCTGACGCCACAGCAGCTGCTTCCAAGATCTGCTGAAGCCGAGCCATCTGCTCCACCCTCGTCCCGGGCGCCGGCTCATTCACACAGGGCCACACCCCGCCGCCACACTCCGGCTGCCCCCCTGAGAGCCTGGTGGGATCCCACAGACGGAAGGCGGGACTGTGCCCCAGCCCCGAGGATGCCTGGCAAGCCAGGTGGAAGGCAGCAGACCCTCACCCACTGCCAAACTGAAGCTGGCGTCCAGCCCCAAGTGGACCAGCCCCTCCTGCCCCTCCGGAAGCGTCTGGGCGTGGCTGCTGCAGGCAGAGGGGACGTCGGGCCCCTCACAGCCCCTCTGTGGTACCCAGCTCCGAGGGAGGCTCCCCTCGCTCCATCCTTCCTCCTGCCCGGCCGCCCCATCGTGAGCCGTGTCTCTGGGCAGTGCCGGCCGAGTTACAGTCCCATTCCCAGAGGCTGAGTTCTCCTCCCCGCTCTGGGTTGGCCTGCACGATCCTCTCCACGGATCTTAACCACCAGGGCTCGTGAGGGTTTCACGAGCTTGGGAGACCTTCACCTCACAGAGGGGTCCTCTGTGGGACACATAGTTAACACGCTGCCAACTGAAAGGTCTGAGGTCCGAGTCCACCCAGACACACCTCAGAAGAATGGCCTGGCAGTGCTTCCAAAAGATGACAGCCAGTGGGCACCCCGTGGAGCACAGTGCTGCCAGGACTTCTAGCAGCAGGACAATGAGTCGGTCACAGGGCCCTGGCAGATGCTGGGAGGCCTGCATCGTGATGGCTTGGCTCTGATCAGCGGGATGGCCCGGGCAGAGCCCAAACCTCCTGTTTCTCCAGGAACAGTGGGGACAGTGGTCAGAGAGCCCTGGTGGCTGGGACATGTCCTAGACATCGTGGCTACTTCTGGGCCTGGCTACCAGGACCACTTTCGCTTCCAGCTTTGGGGCTGATTTAGGAGTTGTATTTGGATCTTTGTTATCGTTGGCCACCTCACTGTGTTCCTGGTTTCTGCCCTGCTCCCTCCAAAGGGATGTGCAGAACTGTACACTCAAGGGCATGATGTCACCAAATCAGGTTGAAACAGTGTATGTGTGGTCCTGCCACTTTGGAAAACCATCTGGCAGGACCTACTAAAAGCATTATGAAAAAGGCAAAACCTAGAAATAATCCAAATGTGCTTTTGGGCAGAGCAACGTTTTGGTATGGTTAAGTCAGTCATAGCTGGAATATTATACTGCAGTGAAAAAGAACTAGTGCCTACTTGTTGACTCAGTAATCCCACTTCTGTCTGTACACCAGAGAGAATTGAGTATGTATGTCCACCAAAAGACATGTGCGAGACCATTTGTAGCAGTTATTCCCTGTAGCCCCAGACTACAACAGCCCAGAGGTCCCTGTTGAATACATCCCCATGCAGATAGTGTGGGATGCTGTGAAGACAAGAAAGAGCCAGGCACCGCCACATTGTACCACTGTGGATGAACCTCAGACACAATGTTACAGTGGAAGGTAGACACCGAGCATACTGTCGGATTCCATCCAGAGGAAGCCGAGCTTGTCCGGGGCGACAGCTGTCGGATCATGGGTGCTCTCGGGGAGGGCCCCGACAGAGAGGAGGTTTACCCAGGTGTGTGCATTTGTGGGAAAACCTCAAACTGAATACTGAGATTGCAGATGTTTGCAGGTCACTGTGTGTAAGTGAGCTAGCAACACAAAAAGAAAAGCAAGAAGCAGCAAAGAGCACGTGCTGTGGGCTGGCGGGCAGCTGTGGAGTTGTGGCAGAGTTCCTGTTGCAGTTGGCACCGATGTAGCACTGAGCTTCCTGGAAGCCACAGTGAAAAAGGAAAGCCGTGACTTCCCTGGCTGCCCACTCATCAGGAGGAAGACCTGTCCCTAGCCATAAAGAGGAACATGCCCCGCACGTTTGGTCTGAAGGCGGTGATGGCCGACTCTGCCTCAGGACAGGTTTTCGTGGCTGACGTTCCTAAGCCGGCATTTGGGTCCCCTCTCCCCCAGGGTACCGGAGGCTGCTGAAGGACATTGAGGAAGGCCTCATCACGTCGGGGGACTCCTTCTACATCCGCCTGAACCTCAACATCTCCAGCCAGCTGGACGCCTGCTCCATGTCCCTCAAGTGTGATGATGTTGTACATGTCCGGGACACCATGTACCAGGACAGGCACGAGTGGCTGTGTGCGCGGGTCGATCCCTTCACGGACCACGACCTGGACATGGGCACCATACCCAGTTACAGCCGGTGAGGCCAGACCCGGGGGGACCAGGCAGCAAGCGGGGTGCTGGGGGTTGTGGGCTGTGGAGCAGCGGCGGCGGCATTCACAGGGGTCCCAGGCCCAGCAGCCCCTTGATGACACGGCAGGCGTGTCCTAGGGCAGCCGTCACAGAGCACAGGTGGACCTCCGAGGCACTGCGGGTTCGTTCCAGACCACTGCAGTGACACGGTGACACGGTAGAAAGGTCATGTGCGTTTGTTGGTTTCCCAGTGCGTGTAGAAGTTACGTTCACACTCTGCTGTGGTCTGTTAAATGTGCCATAGTGTGATGACAGAGTTTGAAATACCGTGAGGATGGCCAAAATGGGACACACAGGTATGTTGAGCACATGCTGTTGGAAAAATGGGGCTGGCAGACAAGTTTGAAGCAGGGGTGCCACAACCTTCAAGTTGTAAAAAAAAAAACGCAGTATCTGCAAAGCGCAGTAAAGCCAGTGGAGTAGACAAGGTCTGCCTGTACCACAGGGCGGTAGCTTCAAACAGGAATTCACTGTCTCACAGCTCTGGAGGCCGGGAGTCCGAGGTCAGGTGTTGGCCATGTTGATAACCTCACCCTGACACTGAGGGGCTTGTAAGCACAGACATGCCCTGTCTCACGGTTCTGGAGGCCGGGAGTCTGAGATCAGGGTGTCGGGCGTGTTGATAACCTCTGCCCGACACTGAGGGGCTTGTAAGCACAGACATGGCCTGTCTCACGGTTCTGGAGGCTGGGAGTCTGAGATCAGGGTGTCGGGCGTGTTGATAACCTCTACCCGACACTGAGGGGCTCGTAAGCACAGACATGCCCTGTCTCATGGTTCCGGAGGCCGGGAGTCCGAGGTCAGGTGTCGGTGTGTTGATTCCCTCTGGGGGACATCTGCCCCCTGCCTCTCTGTCTCTGTCCCCGTCCCGCACAGCCCCAGCCTCTGGAGGCTCCGGGCGTCGCTGACCTCCGCTGCAGCGTCACACGCTGCCCTTCCTCTGTGCCTGTGCCTTGCCTCCTCTGTTTACAAGGACACCACTCCCGGGATCAGGACCCCTACTCCAGTGTGACTGCACCTTAACATACCCGACAACACCTACAACACCCTAGTTCATAACTAGGTCACATTCATAGGTGGCCCTTTTAGGGAACCAGGGGTGGGACCCCAACATGCCTTTCTGGGGGATGCCGTCCAACACCAAACACCCACTCTTTGTTTAACAGTGAGACCTGCACTGCCTCCTCTTCCATGACGCCTTCCTGCTCACCCCTGACGCTGCATCCCCCCTTGCTGAGCTGTGTGTTGGCCTCCCGTCTGCCCACACGCCGTGGCACATGCCTTCATGCCCACACATCAAGCCGCCCGTGCCATGTAGTTACCACAGTAATAGCCACAATGGCCAGGCGCCAGCTGCAGGTCAGGGCCACTGTTAGTCCCTCCCACTCCGACCCCACCTCTCAAGGCCGTCCTGCCCTGTCAGCTTCATCGCACCAGACTGACCAGCAGGAAAATGGAGGCTCAGAGAAGTGAGGTGGCCTTGCCGTCACACAGCGAGTCGGAGCTGAGGGCGGGCCTGGAACCCGGCTGTCAGCCATCCTTGTCTCCCGTGAGAGACCCCGGGGTCGGAACACGGTGGTCCCCAGGGCATCCGGTCGCAGCCCCTGAGGCCTTGCCCTTCTCACCCCCAGAGCCCAGCAACTCCTCCTGGTCAAGCTGCAGCGGTTGATGCACAGGGGCAGCCGGGAGGAGGCAGATGGCGCCCACCACACCCTGAGGGCCCTGCGGGTAGGTCCCCGGCCACGGGAGGGCCCACCCAGGGTCTCCAGGGAAGGTGACACATGGGCCGGTGGTCTTCCTGGGATGGTGCTCCCTGGGGGAGATTTCAGGGGGCACGAGCAGTTTGCACTTGACTACCAACTTAAAGCTTTGAACCCAACCAGAGGCACGTCAGAGGACAGGCCCGACGGTCTGCTTTTGAAAAGTCACCCCTGAAAACCCTGTGGGGTGCCATTCTGCCCTGACGCGCCTCGGGGCACCAGGGGGCAGAGGCAACTCCACAGCACAGGGTTGGATTGCTTACGAAGGGGACACCCCTCTAAAGGGAGCCCCTTCGCTGTGCCCAGCCGCTGGGCCTGGGGTTTGCGGGAGAAGCGGGGCACAGACGAGCCACGGTTTTCTATCCCGGCTGGAATGCCAGCCTTTGCTGCATGGTCTCTGGTTGCTTTAGAACAAGTCGCCTGCCCATCTCTAGACACCTCTCCCCCACGTGGCTCCCTGGTCACGGTGTTTTGATTCCGTGATGGAAGCACGCTCTCAGGCAGCACTGAGGGGGCAGGAGGGCCGCCCCCGTTCTCAGGGCTTCATGGGGTTTGCGGCTCCTGCCCAGCCCGGCCACTGACCACCTGACACTCTGCTTACAGAACACCCTGCAGCCCGAGGAGCCCCTCTCTGCGAGCGACCCCCGGGTCAGCCCCCGGCTCTCACGAGCAAGCTTCCTCTTTGGCCAGCTGCTCCAGGTAAAGGGCCCGCGAATGCCCGCTGACTGGGCGGGTGGCCACACTGCACCGGGCTCAGCCTCCTCTCCAGTGAGAGGGGACATGGCTGCAACTGGGGCACTGCTGGCAGCTTCTCGCCGGGCTCCATGGCTCCGCCCGTCCCGTCCTCACAGTGACTGCTGGGCAGACGCCTCTGCACCTGTTGGAAACATCCTGTGCTTTCACAAAAGATCTGAGGGAATCCATGGCTAAAGGAAGGAGCTCTGGTAGTGCCGTGGTTAAAGCACTTGGCTGCCAACCAAAAGTGGGCAGTTCGGCCCCTCCGGCTGCTCCGCAGGAGAAAGATGAGGCAGTCTGCCGCCGTAAAGATGGAAACCCTACGAGTTGCTTCTGCTCTGTCCTGTAGGGTCTCTGTGAGTCAAATTGACTCAATAGCCGTGGATTGGGTTTTGGGTTTTGGTTAGAAGTTTTGGTTTAATGTAGCTGTTAAAATATGAGTAGGAAAATCGAGAGGAAAGCAAATGTGCCAAACGTTAGGGCCAGGTAAGCTCCTCAGGTTGAGCATGAAACTGTTCTCTGAGCCTCCTGGCAGCCAAGGAAAAAGGGCAACAAGCAGGTTCTGTAAATAAACATTTTAGCTCTTTGGGACCAGAAAGGGCTTTTTCCCTCGCACTCAGTTCTGGAGTGAAATTTCTAACTAGAACCACTGTATGGGAACACAGATGACGGAGTGTGTGGCGTTTCAGCAGCGACTTCGCATAATGCAGACTCGTTCTTCACGCTCACTTGTTGACGGACACTCGGAACAATGCCCACAGGGCCCTGAGAGCAGGTTTCCATGTTGACGCTGCACAAATTAGAGCCCAGTGGAGCTGCCGTGAGGGGTCCCTGGGCAGTGCAGACGGTGAATACAGTTGGTACTAAGCTGAAGGTTGGAGGTTCAATTCCACCCGAGGCATCTGGGAAGAAAGGCCTGACAGTCTAGTTCCAAAACACCAGCCCTTGTAAACCCTGTCAGAGTTCGCATGGACCCACATGGGGCACCAGGAGTCGCATTGACTCCATGGCCACGGGTAACCATGTCAGTCTAATTGCCAAAGGGCACAAGAGACTGGCCCAGTGGGTGTCTCCCGTCTTTGCAGGGACCATGGCTGACCCAGACCCCACAGCTCACATGTGTGGAGTTGGGAGTCAAGGTCTGTCTGAGGCTTGGTTAGAATCAGACACAGGGTCATCCCCCGTCTCCCACCAGTTTGTCAGCAGGTCCGAGAACAAGTACAAACGCATGAACAGCAATGAGAGAGTCCGCATCATCGCAGGCGGCCAGCTGGGGAGCCTGGGCCGGGCATCGCTGGACATCACCAAGCTCTTGAGCGAGAAGCAGGAAGGTATAGTGACGATCTCTTTCCCTCGCCCCAGGGCTACCGTGCACACACACAGCCCCCATCCATCCCCAGGGCCACCGTGCACACACGCCCCCCGCCCCAGGCCACTGTGCACACACACAGCCCCCATCCATCCCCAGGGCCACCGTGCACACACGGCCCCCCGCCCCAGGCCACTCTGCACACACACAGCCCCCTGCCCCAGGCCACTCTGCACACACACAGCCTCCATCCCCAGGCCACTCTGCACACACACAGCCTCCATCCCCAGGACCACTGTGCACACACAGCCCCCCACCCTGGGCCACCATGCATACACGCAGCCCCATCCCCAGGGCCACCGTGCACACACAGCCCCCTGCCCCAGGCCACCATGCACACATGGCTCCTGACTCCAGGGCTACCCTGCACACACAGTGCCTATGAGGTGAGCTGGTTGCCTGCTGCCCCTAAGAGAGGGGACTGCCAGAAGAGGTGGTGAGCTGGCGGGCTGGGAAGTGAGGGTGCTGCCAGCCTTGCTCAGCAGGACGCTGCCACCTCCCGCCACGGCCCCCTGCCAGCTCTCCCACTAACAGTGTCCCTGACGTCGGCTGGCACCCAGATGCCCATGGTAGCTGGAGCTGTTTACCATGAAGTGTTTACCATCAGTTCCTCGGCCTGCTGAGTGCCTCTCACTGTGTGTCAAGCTGTGAGGGCCGCCTGTAGCCTCTGCCCTGGTACTTGGTGTTGCACGTGGCCAGCCAGCTCTGTCCACTCCTGCCTAGGGCCACCTGCTGGGGAGGGAGGCCCTCAGAGCCACACTGAGTGTCAGCGTGAGAGAGTAGTCTTCAGACCACCCAGCCAGGCTGGGGTCCTCACCTCGGCTGCTCAGCCCCCAGCAGACCCCTTGTCCCCATCCCCTCTGCCCTGCGCTCCCCACACAGCCAGAGGGGATTCAGAGAGTTGAAGGAGACCAGCTCACCCCCTGCCACAGCCCTAGAATACAGCAAGGCCCAAGTCACACCCTCCTCAGAGGACTCGCCTTCTGGAATGATACGATTTTGTGGATTTGAGACCCGTTCCTTGCCTGATCCTGGGAGGCAGGGCTCTGGGAGGTCATGCCTGGCCCACTCTGTCCACAGCTGTCACCAGCTGTGGGGTCATCTCATGCATGTTTGTCGATAGCCGAGGAGAACCACCTGGGCCTCAGGCACACAGCCATTGACAGAGTGTGGTCGTGGGCCCTCGCACTTGCCCCCAAGGACGAGCCCTGCGTCCTGTCCGCCCTTGTGGCTGGGTCTGACACCACCCTCCCTCCACCCACAGAGCCAGAGCCTGAGAGTGAGCTGAGCAGGAACCTCAGCCTAGTGCCCTACAGCCTGGTGCGCGCCTTCCCCTGCACACGCCGCCGCCCCGTGCTTTTCTCCCCGTCCATGCTGGCCAAGACACTGGTGCAGAAGCTGCTCAACTCAGGGGGTGCCATGGAGTTCACCATGTGCAAGCCAGGTGAGTGCGGGCCAGGACTCCACCGCTGCCCTGGGCACCGCCACCGCTGCCCTGGGCACCGCCACCACTGCCCTGCTCCCCAGCCACTCTGGGCCTCGTGTCCCAGGAGACGTGACAGTGCCTGCGTGTGGCCTGTTGGGATGAGCGGGTGAGCAGGGTCCGGCAGCTCTGTCTTTCTTCACCTAGACGTGCTCACAAGAGAGGAGTTCCTCAAGAAGCAGAAGACTGAGACCATCATCTACTGGCGGGAGAAGAACCCCAACACTTTTGAGTGCATCCTTCCCGCCAACATTGAGGCTGTGGCTGCCAAGGTGAGGGGCCCTGCCGGATGGGGCCAGGCAGGCTGGGGGCTGGGACCCTGCTGGACAGGCTGGGGGGCCAGGACCCCTGCCTGCTTCTCTCTGGTTGTCGATGAGAGAGGATGAGGCCTCACCCTCACCCGCCCTGCTTGAACCTCCTCCTTCCCTTATCTCTGCATTTACCGCAAGTTACCGTGATCTCTCCCTGCCCAGGCCCCACAGCCCCAGCTCTCCCTCCTCGGTGCCACGCCCCAGCTCTCCCCCAACCCCAGTCCCAGGCCCCAGCTTTCTCCCAACCCCAGTCATACACCCCAGCTCCCCCTCCCTGGTCCCGGGCCCCGGCTCCCCCTCCCTGGTCCTGGGCCCCGGCTCTCCAGCTACCGTTACTGGTCTGTATCCTGAAGCAGCCTCTTCTGCTTCAGATACCTTCCTGGTGCTTGTTCGTCATTCACCCTGTCAGGGGCATGTGTGTCTGGTTGTGAGAACACAGTCCAGAGATAGACAACACATTGGGGTGCGAGGCAGATGACCAGGTGGCCAGGATGGCAGCTACGCAACGGGAAAGTGGGCCATCGTAGGTTCCCGGCAGGGCACTAAGCCGCCTGAGGACAGTTGGGAGCCTTCGTGAGCCGTGTGGGGGCCGTAGTGGTTGGGGGAGGAGCCCTTGCCTCCCTCACAGCTGACCCAGCACTTTAGTGTCGCTGCAACAGAGACGCCACAGTGGACCTCTGCAACCAACATGGCAGATCTAGGGGAGCCTTTCTCTGTCTGTCGGCTCTGGGGAACGGTCCTTGTCTCCCTTCAGCATCTGTGGGCCAGCGTCCCTCAGAGATCGCCATGTGTGTTGGCCTCAGTCATCCCCAGGGTCTAGGAGCCTCTCAGCACAGGGAACCCGGGTCCAAAAGACATGCTCTGTTCCTGGCTCTTCTTTCTTGGTGGGAGTAGGTCCCTCTGATCTCCACCCACTTATTTACTCTCTTTTATATCTCAGAAGAGAGTGACTCAAGATACCACCCAATCTGAAGGTTGCATCTTGCCTCATTAACATAACTGCCCCTCATCCTGCCTCATTAACATCCTGGAGGCAAGGATTTACAACAAGTGGGATAATCCCATCAGATCACAAGATAGAGAACACATCAATAATCCTGAGAATCACAGGCCAGCCAAGTCCACACACAGGGTCAGAGGAGGCGGTGCAACGTAGGACTCGCAGGTTTGAGCCCCAGCCATGCTGAACAGGTTTCAGTGGAGCTTCAAGACCGCGATGGACCAGGAAGGTGGGAGACGGTGGGGACTGGGGCTGATGGGGGCCTCTGCTCACAGAACAAGCACTGTCTGCTGGAGGCCGGGATCGGCTGCACAAGAGACCTCATCAGGGCCAAGATCTACCCCATTGTGCTCTTCATCCGCGTGTCCGAGAAGAACATGAAAAGGTTCAGGTAGGTCTCTGAGCCCGCCAAGGCCGGGAGTCCAGAGCTCAGCCCGCCCTCCACTGTGCTTCCATCATGCCCACCAAGGACAGCCGGCTGGGCCACCCTCTCTGCTCCTTCCTCTTTTTACCGAGAACCAGCCCCCCCTCCAGAGGACAGGGCCAGCTCCTACTGCAGCAGGAGATGGGCCAAGAGCCACAGAGCCAGTCGGGTGGGCACGGTGCTGGGGGTGGGAACCTGGAGAGGGTGGGGCCCGGGACACGTCACGCAGGGGAGCACCAGTGAGCAGAGAGCAGGCTGCAGTGCAGGTGGGCCGAGCAGGCTCTGGAGGGAAGGTTCCAGCAGGGTGAGCAGGGAGCGGGCTGTGGCCGGAGATGCCGGGCAGGGGTGAGCAGGGAGTGGGCTGTGACCACTGAGGGTTTTGCATGGAGGAAGGACCGAAGCCAGCTTAGGGTGTGCAACGTCCTTCTGACTGATGTTGACAAGGGTTTACAGCTGTCCCGGCGAGAAGCAGGCTCAGATAGGGGGAGGGTCCCAGCTGGCAGGTGGCGAGGGGCAAGCCTGCAGGATGCATTAGGGGCCGGCTGCGCAGTTTGGAAGGCAGAGTGGAAACTACAGGTGACCCTTGGGGCCTGACCTCCAACCTTACCCTCTGTGCACATGCCACAGAATGAATGGGATGACCCCATTTCAGAGATGGGCCCACTGAGACTAGATGCCATCCAGCTGCCCCACTCCTTTTCTGAATGTTTATGGAGCTCACATTAGGTGCCCGGCTCTGTTCTGTGGGCTGGACAACCCAACCATGAACCAGCAAGGCCAGACCCCTGCCTCCTGCAATTTGCACCATGCACACGGTGGACAAGGCAGTGTGCAGGGTTAGAAGGCGTGGCAAGATGCCACGGAGAGGCAGAGCGCTGGTGAGGGTGACCAGTGCAGTGGCAGATGGCTGGGGCAGCCCCACAGGAGAGCAGCCAGCGGTGGGTGCAGTGCCCACACCCCTGCCCAGG